TCTTTTTTTGCCTAATTCTAACTCATTTTTCTTACAATTTTTAGAGAAAACTCGGGCTCCTGGATTGTTGTCATTATTTCTGTATTTCTTTCATTTTTGAGTACTGAGTATGTGCCAGACACTGCTAAGTACCTTGCAGAGTTTGGTATAATTGTTTTCATTTTACAAATGAAAATACTGGGTCCAAGATAGAATATGTACTTGATCCCAGCTAGTTACTAGCAGAGCTGGAATTTGAACTGTCTCTCTCCTCAGGCTATGAATTTTCCATAGACCCTGACACCTCCCTTCCTGTGTTCCACCCTTCCCACCCTAGTCAGTGTGATTATAAAATAATGGAAAATCTGAAGACTCTCCACCCACCCATCTTAAACAAAACAGAACCTTTAAAAGGACATTTTGGTTAGTACTTGTATGACATAAATATGTACCCCATCTCGAGATAGCCATTGAATTTCCTTTTGAAATATTAATAGCTTTATGTCAGAAATGTATTGCTTATTTACATCTTAAGGAATAATTTTTAAGTGTTCAAACCTTGTAACAGTTGCTCATACCTATGCGTGTGATAAAGACAGTCTCTAAGCACTGACACTATAAGAAAACCTGAGAATTCCATGTAGGATAGTTCAAGATAACTGTAGTATATGCTTAGCACAGCTAAGCACAGCTTAGTTTCACAAGGCTTGTGCTTCCTTTATAATTAATTCTATATTCTTTTTTCTGATATAATTTTCCATATGATGTTAGTACTTCACTACCAGCTAAGTCATATCTATAAAGAGCGATACCAGATGAGCAATTATGTCTTAACTTCTCTGTTTTTTTATCTCAGTGGTATAGATTTCTGACTTCTATTCAAAATCCAGTTCTTTGCACTTACTCTCTAGATATAAAGATGAGTCTTTGGTTCTTTCATTCAGACTTATGGATAAGCATAAGTCTTTTGTTAACAGGCCTATTTTTTCTTCTCTGCATTTATATCACTGACCTTTGCTTCAAAAAGCATTCAACAGTCTTTAACAGAGGAAGACTGTGAAAGGGGGTGTTGTAAAGCCTTTATTCTATAAAAGAAGTCACACAGGGAAAGCTTTATATTTGCTGAGTGATTTAATTCTTATACATGCAGAGCTTGACCATGGTAACACGGTGGAAAACCCTGCTAGTACAGCCTCATAGTTAAACTTCCCTACTCCATTCTGTGTATTTTCTACAAAGAGAGAGAAGAGCATCTCCTTTCCTGTTGTTTTAAAATCTACTCAGGAAAAGCAAAGCATGGTGTCTAGAGTAGTCAACTGCTTTATCATAAGATTCACAAAACCATCATGGATTATTTTTAAAAATCATCAACTAAGGGGCATATACTCCAGGGAGAAAAACGCCTGCTTTAATCAATCTTCTGATTTAAGAATTATGAAGGGCAAGTCTGCTTACAAGAATAGCATCTGTGCCCTGGATACATGGCTTAGTTGGAGTGTCATCTGGTACACCAAAAGGTTGAGGGTTTGATCCCTGGTCAGGGCACATGCCTAGATTGTGGGTTCAATTCCTGGTTGGGGTGCGTACAGAAGGCAAGCAGTCAGTGTTTCTGTCTCCCTCTCCCTTCCTCTCACTCTAAAAATTAATAAAAGCATATCCTTAGGTGAGGACTGAAATGAAAAAGAATAGCATCTACTTTGAGAACACTGACTATACTTTATATTATTAATATATTAAGAATTAACAATAACATTAATTATTAATGTTATATTATTAGGTATTCCAAGATAACACCGTTTTCTCATATGTGGTGTGTTAGGCAAACACTTTAATTTAAAATAACTTTTTCTTCTGTATACTGAATAAATAATCTAATGTCTATAGAGCAATGATAAGCAAGCATATTTTGGTTAACATTTTAAAAGCTTTGAAAACTGGCTAATGAAATGATGTTAGCCATTCTCTGAAAGGTACATTATGTCCTTTATAACTTTCTGACAGTATAGCAAGATTGCAAGGCTTAAATTGATTGGTTCCTTCTTGTGAATTGTAAGATATCCCTGAACTTCATATTTAGTGAATACTGTTTTACTTTAACAGATCTTTAAGTACCTTGATATATTCTTGTGTGATACTGTATACATGTATTTGGGTATATTTTTTCTTTTCTTTTCAATTTTTTGTAAAGTTACTTAAGAGATATGGTTGCTAATACAAATTTCTGTCATATTAAAAAATGCTCATATTTTATACTAAGTACAGATTTTAATTAAGGGTTAAGAATCAAAATAGTTGGGTTGGCATCTTCTGAGAAACTTGGACTTTGCTAGGCTGCAATTTCTCTTCAAGTAGTAAGACCCCTTAGCTTTTGTCACAGAAGACCTTAAATTTACTGAGTGAGAAAAGAGATGGGGGTTTATTTTGTGCAAGGCAGAAACAGCTGGGATAAGAACCTAAATATATGGTGATTTGTGGTACTTGCAATCTACATAATGAAGCTTGATACCCAAGTGGATGTCAAGTTGTTTGGCAAGCAAATTTCTTGTACAAATTTAGGGCCAAATTTAAGGAGGGGTAGCATTGTATAATGGGAAAGTCTGGCTTTGTATAAATAATTACTAGATGTGCATAATAATTTTAACCTTTATGAATTTCCTCAATAGCATGATAAGGATTATGACCTTCATCTAACAGAGTTATTTTGAGGATTAGGGAGAATATATACTTATTGACATAGTTCCTCAATAAATCATGGCTCATTGTTTTTATCATCAACATAATCATCATCACGCCTGCTTTCAGATGCTTCCATTTTACATTTTCTGTAAAATTCTTTATTAGTCAAGAAATTGAATAACCCAATACATTAGGCAGCTTTAAGATAGAAGCACAGATTTGGATAGATCACTTCTCAGGATACAAGGCTCTAAGATATGTTAAATATTTACTCTTATATGAGCTTGGCTTTCTTTCTCTTCTGGATTCGTTTTGTTTGAGGAAAGCCATAAAAATATTCCATGTAGAACCGTTCTTCTACTCCTTTTTGGCATACCCTGGGACATTACAGAGAACCATGATAAATGAGAGAGAGAGAGATAATAAACTGCAATTCCAGCTGCTCAAAATACCTTTATAGTAACAGAAGGCAGAAACCTTATTATTTTGCTCAGGGAATGCTGATGAAGGGAGAGGCATATCTCACATATTTTTTAAAAAATCCTTAGGTTTGTATGGTACAAGTAAAATACACAGTTGAAAGTTGCTTTACTTCCATTTTTCAAAGTTCAATCCAAAGTTCCAATAACTCTTAAACTTAGAACTTCTATTTTTACTACTGAAATAGGAATATGGGAAGTAGTAGGGGATTACTTTAACTGACGGTATGTGTAAGAGCTGTGTAAGTATTTAACAATCTGAGCTTGGGCTCCTGAACAAAAACGGACAACACCATAGAGGCTCATTATTAGAAGCTAAATCTCTAAAAAAATTATATTGAAAAGCAGTTCTACCTTAGATTATCTCCCATCCAACAAGAGTGATAACAAAATCTACTCAGATGAAGCCTACAAATTTGAGGTACAGAATGAGGATATAAAGAAGGGTTATACTGTTGGAAAAAAGGGAAAGAATTTTAGCTTTTCTGAGAATCCCAGTAATTAGTTTAGCCCTTCATCTCTCTTTTTCCCTTCCAGTACTTAATTATAAAACTCATTTTGTATATTTATTGAGCATTTGTTTGTCAAGTATGTATTAACTGCTTATAGCAGACCAGGCACTATAAGAGACTCTTAGGATATTGAGGTGGCTAAGATATGGTTGTGGGACTCAGCCAACTTACCAAGTAGGATGTATGAAATGAAAATAGTTATAGTACACTATCCATGGCTTGAGCTATGTCTTGAGGATAATAAAAAATAACTGCATGATACAGTCTTTGCCTCAGGTCTTTAACAAATTAACTAGAGAAATGAGTTACATATATGAAAAAATATAGAACAGACCATAATTAAGGTTAAGATTTATGGTGCAGAGAATGTGAAGTTAGGAAGCTGAAAGATCACTTTTAGACTACTCAGAAAAATCTTCCATAGACAAAGACGAGGCCGAAAGGAAAGTTTTTGAGAGGTGGAGGAGGAAAGACATTCTAAGATGTTTGTAGAGGAAATAATACCAAATGAAATTTACCAGAAAGTAGTGATTTACACAGGTGTGGGTGAGTGATCGCAAGGGCATATGGGACAGAGAGGACTTGGAAATGGCAACAGAGGTTAAGTTTCACTGATTGAAAAGAGGTGATATTAATGTAATGGACATCTAAGAAAAGAAAATAGGCTAACAGGAAGAGATGACATACTAAATAAACTATTTTTCTTACTTTAGATTTTTAATCCTTTTGAGTTGACAATTTAGAATTTTTATATGGGTTTAGTCCAGAAAGTGACAGGTGTCACCATTATAGTCATTTTACATAACTGTGAATTCCAGTTTTATTATCATATATGTATTAATATAGTTTGTAACTAAAGTAGAAATTATATTGTTTCCAGCATCTAAATGGAAATTGGTTGATGTATTCATTAAGATTCTGGTCTTCAAATTCTTCATGCAGAAGCTAAGTTGAGTGAGGGCTTTTTACCTCCAGATTTGTGCGGCGTGGGTGCTGATGGAACTGTGGGATGATTCGGGAATGAGATGTGGCTGTAGTATCAGTTCTATGTCCTGTTGCTCAATAAAGAAAGACTTCTAAGCACTGGGACTTATAGTCTCTCTCCATGGCTCCTTTATCATTTGTACCTGAGTGCAGAGGATTAAACTGTCACAAATTATTAGTGTTAGTACTATGTTAATTGAATTTATATAATCATGAAACTTTAATTTTTATTATATTAAAAATAAAAATTAGTACTTCTAGAATCTACTCAAAATAATTTCTAAATTAAGATCATCGTATGATGGAATATTAGGCAACAAAGCTTTCAAACTCATTTACTTTTGCTTATTGTCTTTGCTTTTATTTGCAGTTCTGGGAAATGCCAGTGTAAAGTGGGTGTCAGCGGCTCTACATGTGATCGATGCCAAGATGGATATTATGGCTTTAGTAAGAGTGGCTGCCTACCCTGCCAATGCAGTAATCGGTCTGCCAGTTGTGATGCCCTCACAGGTACACGTTTTCCTCACCTTTTTATGTAATTAGTCCATTGTTCTTTTTTATTTTCAGGTCATTCATCTATCGGTTGATTCTTTCCAAATAGTTTATAAGGATCTTTCTCCTCTCAGTGGGATGTAATAAGTTATAGCAAGTCAAACTCCTGCAACAACAATGTGAAAAATAAAACACCTCATGCATTTCACAAATTATATTGGTTGGAGAGCTATGGAAACAAGGAGGATGATATGAACTAAAATTTCCAAAGGCTAGAACTCTTCCTAAGCGAGTTGATGATCACAGCCATTTCCAGGGGACATTTGCTGATTCTGGGCACAGGCTAAGGAGCAGGGTTAGCCCAAGCCAAGGAAATCTTCTTGAGGAAAGAGATACAAGAGGAGCTTTTGCAGTCATTTGGGGCTTGTAGGGCGGGTCGGAAACTAGAGGAGCTCTAAACGCAAGGCCTGTTTTCTCTTAAGACCTTAGCTGACTGTGTAGGATGTGGAAGGCTGGTCTGAAAGGTAGAAAGAAATCTCATCTTATGGTGCTTAGGGGACAAAAGTCTCTTTAGAGCCCTGGCCAGTGTGGATCAGTTGCTCAGAGTGTCATTCTGTAGAGAGAAAGATTGCAGGTTCGATTCCCTGTCAGGGCACATGCCTAGGTTGCAGGTTTGGCCCCCAGTCAGGGTGCATGCAAGAGACAACAGATCAATGTTTCTCACATTGATGTTTCTATCCCTTCTTTCCCCTCTCTCCAAAATCAGTAAGGATGTCCTGGGGTAAGAATTAAAAAAAACTCTTTAGAGAGGGCCTCCTATAACATACAGCCACCTCTCTCTCTCAAGACAGTGCCAGATTTTGAACATGCATGGAGTGGGACCTAGGCTCAAATCAGCAAAGGGAAGCACTGGATCTGTTGTAGTTCTTTCAGGGCTCAGGAGACTCGGCCTGTTAGGTTCTCAAGTCAAAAGCCTTAGAGGGCCGTGACCAGGAATTATGATGGACCATTGGTGAACTGACTCATACTGAAAATGCAGTTCATCCTCAGCTCATTTCTATTTCTGACTGGACTGAGGTGATCCTCCTATTGTATTTGCCTAACAGAGGAAAGGGGAGTCATATGTGGTTCTTTTGTAAACTGTATGTGGCATATTATAAGAAATATGAGTGCTGGCTGGTGTGGCTCTGTGGATTGAGTGCCAGCCTGAGAACCAAAGGGTTGCTGGTTTGATTCCCAGTCAGGGCACATGCCTGGGTTGTGGGCCAGGTCCCCGGTGTGGGGCGCAAGAGAGGCAACCACACATGGATGTTTCTCTCCTTCTCTTTCTCCCTCCTTTCCCCTCTGTCTAAAAATAAATTAATAAAATCTTTAAAAAATATGAGGTAATTCTGAAGTAGGAAAATGATAATAATAAATAGAAAAACAATGAATGGAAGGAGACCCATAGGTGATCTACATGTTAGCATTAGCATACAATGACTAAAGTAACTAAAATTAATATTTTAAGGAACTAGAGGAAAACCAGACAAAGATGAAATGAGGCACAATTTTAAGAGAATCAGAATCTATAAAAAAATCAAAAGGATAATAAAAGCAAAAAATACAACATGAAATTAATAACTTATTACATGGGTTTAACAGCAGATTGTACATAGTAGAGACAAGGTTAATATAATAGATTCAAATATTACTCTATTAAAAATATCCAAACTAAAGCACAGAGATAAAAACAATGCAATGGGAAGAACAGAGCAGGAAAAACACACAGTACAGCCAAAAGTCTAGCATAAATGTAATTAGAGGCTCAGAAAGGAAAGAGAGAGATTGGAGCAGAAGAAATATCTGAAGAGCTAATGGCCAAGAGTTTTCCAAATTAATGAAATATAGCAACCCACAGATTCAAAAAGCTCAGCAAACTCTAGGCAGTAAAAAAAAAAAAGAAGAAAAGCACATTGAGTCAAACTTAGTCAAACTATTCAAAAACTAAAGACAATGAACTTTTCTTATCTTTAGTTTTCCTAAATGTAAGGATTTGATAGACTTCCTTGGAAATCTTTTTTCCTTCAACAAAAAATTCAGGACTAGTCTGACAAATACAAATGTTTTTGTGAGAGCAAGGTAGCAGAATATTTGAAAATGGGAAAGTACCCTGGGAAAAAAATCTGTGTTGAAAGCTTATTCTTTATGTTAATCATCTACTCTATGGTGAAGCAGATTTATTTAGAAGAAATTGTGGGTTATTTTTCTATCATGTGATCTGGTCCCTACCTGCTTACCAGTTCTATCTTATACTATTCTTTTTCTTTACTGTCTGTGATCCAATATGCTGGCTTCTATCCCCGAGACAAGCAGTGTTCCCTTGTCCCAAGGTTCTCTCTCATACACGATCTTTTCTTTGCCTCGAGGAGCCTTTCTAATACACCTCCATTCCCAACCCTGAACCCTTTACCTCAATAAATCATATCCTTCCTTAGGCCTTTAGTTAAAGTTTGGTTCGTTAGAAAGCAGTTCCCAGACCTGGCCAGTGTGCCTCAGTGAGTTGGAGTGTCATCCCACGAACCGAAGGGTTCCGGGTTTGATTCCCAGTCAGGGCCTGTACGGGAGGCAGGAGATTGATGTTTCTCTCTCTCCCTTCTTCCTCTCTCTCTCTCTCTGGAAGGAATATCTATCTATCTATCTATCTATCTATCTATCTATCTATCCATCCATCCATCTATCCATCATCTACCTACCTACCTATGGAGAAAGCAGTTCCTGATGATCCAGGATTAATGACAATTCCCAGTTATACACTCTCACATACATTTCTGTTTTTTCATAGCACTTACCACAGTTTGTATATTTATTTGTGGTTATGAGTCACATAGGCTTATTCCTTCATTGTAAGTTCCACATCCGTTTTGTTCACCATTTATACAGTCTGTAGCATGGAGCTTGGCAGATAGTAAATACTCACTAAATTTTTGTTGAATAAATGAACAAGTGAACGGAATCCATACAGAGGAAAGATGAGTTCCAATCTGGGGAACGACAGAACGCTGCATCATACTGAGTTGATTTAAATTGCTCCTTCGATCTTCTGCAGTACGAGGAACAGTCTGTATTGCTGGTTGTCACTTCTCATCTTCTGTGGAGCAATGGACTAGCTCTCTTTAATGTTAAATAAATCGCAAACTGTCCTTGCTCTGGAGATAATTTAAGGCGAAAGAAATCCTTTTCATGATTATGATTTCTAAAAGCAGCTAGTAATAAGAGAAATAAATGGTTTCTCTGTTTTGAAATATAATAAAAGTGGAATCCAACATGAAGGACTGCCAATACTCAATTTAAAACTGTAAGATCAATGTAAAATCAGTCTTTTGTCTTAAATGAGATTTTTTTTTCAACAGTGCTGTGATACGGTTGCCCTCTGGTGGACACTTATGATGCTTTCATAGTTCTTTTTCTATACCCTGTATTATATTTTAGATTGAAGTAGATTTTTAAAGTAACCTTTTTGTGATAAGATATATTGGGAAAACATTTTGGAAAGCAGTTTGACAATGTGTATCAAAAGTCTTAAAAATACTTCCTCGATTCAGTAATTTTGTTTCCTGGAATCTATTCTGAGGAAATAATTCTCAATTCATAAAAAGCTTCATGTTCAAAGATGCTCATCAAAGTGGTAGTTGTAATTCTAAAAAAATTAGACCACTTTATTTGTAACAGGGAATGAAACAAATCATATTATCTAGGCAATACATAGTTAAGAGCACAGAAAGTGAAATCTTGACTTTACATGTGTAAGTTACTTAGCCTGTTTTTTTATCCTTACCTGAAGATAGCCTTATTAATTTTAGAGAGAGGGGAAGGGAGGGAGAGAGAAAAGGAGAGAAACATCGATTGCCTCTCATATATGCCCCGACCGGGGATCAAACCTACAACCTAGGCATGTGATCTGACTGGAAATCGAACCTGTGACTTTTCGGGTTTACTGGAGGACACTCCAATCAACTGAGCCATACTGGCCAGGGTAGCCTGTTTTTTTTTTTTAAAGAAATTTGGGATAATGACAGTAATTGTCTAATAGATTGCTGTGAGTAGTCAATACAATATACAGGATCCAGCACAAATGATGCTGATTTTTAATTACACAATCATAAGCATGTAACATAACAGTATCACACTCAAGCACACCACATGGTATTTTAGGTGAAATGTTCAATTAAAACTATAAATTATTACACCCATATTATTACCTTTCTAACCACACTGAAGCAGGCGTTACTTCTACCGGACCCTGTATTTATAAAGCCCTTAATACAGTACCTGGCTCATTATAAGCAATCAATAACTGGCAACTGTTTTTATGTTGTCATTTAAATATTTTAAAGATTGATGTATAACAACATAAGAGAGAGGGTGAAAGAAGCAAGGCATAAAATGACATGTGGGACACATTTAGACTATTTAAAAGCGAATCTAAACCTTTGTATATGGAAAGATTTCAAGGAAAAATACTCAAAATCCTAATGGCAAATTTCTTAGGATAATTATTTTTATCTTTCTATCTTCTTGTATTTTTCTAGATTTTCTTTATTGAAAACACAGTTTCCTTAAAATGGAGATGGGGGAACTGTTATTTTTTAAAACTGGAACTTACGTTCATATAATGTACTTCTTTGAAAGAATTGGGCTCCCTCGTGTATTCGTAGTGCTCCGTGGAGAGCACCTTGACTGCAGCAGCTTGACTGAGCTGACCTCCCCTTCATTCCTCAGTGACTCTTCTCCTTAGGATATCGCACTCTCCTGGCTCTCCTCCCTCCTCACCTTCCTCTGTTCCACTAATACACATTGGAGTGCCTTAGAGCTCAGTCCTTGGCATGCTAGTCTTCTCCATTTGTACGCTCCCTAAATGATCTCATTCAGTCCCCTGGATTTAACTTAAATGCCATCCACACTTGTGTTGATTACCAGATTTACATTTCTTGCTTGATCTTCACACTTAAGGATCTAACAGTGCATTTGACATCTTC